ATGAGAGGTGACTTGATAGAGGTGTACAAAATGATCAGAGGTATAGATAGAGTGGACAGCCAGAGACTTTTTCCTAGGGTGGAGGTAGCTATTACGAGGGGGCATAGTTTTAAACTGAGTGGAGGTAGATATAGGGGAGACGTCAGAGGGAGGTTCTTTACTCAGAGAGTGGTGGCGTGGAATGCATTGCCGGAGAGGGTAGTGGAGTTGGCCTCATTAGGGGCACTTAAGCGGCTATTAGATAGGCATATGGATGATAGTATAAATGTAGGGGTGGAGGTTAGATAGACCTTAGATTTAGGGTAAAAGTTCAGCACAACATTGTGGGCCGAAGGGCCTGTGCTGTGCTGTACTGTTCTATGTTCCATGCTCTATGCTCTATCTCATCCCCTCCTCCTTGACCTGACACAACCTGTCCATCTTCTCTCCCACCTATCTGCTCCTCCCATCCCACTGACCAATCCCCACCACTCCATACATGCACTCACCTATCACCATCCCACCTACCTTCCTCAGCCCCACCCCTCCTCTCTCTATTTATTCCTGAGCTCTCTTCACCCTCCCCATCTCTGAAGAAGGGTCACAACCCAAAATGTCAATTTTCCTGCTTCTCCGATGCTGCCTGGCCTGCTGTGTTCCTCCAGCTCCACACTGTGTTATCTATAAAATGAAAATGGTGTTTATTTTGTACTTTGGAACTGACCTGGCAGACTATATTACCGTTCTAAAGCCCTGAACCTTCTTCAATAAGCAAACCTTCACAGTTTTCTCTCTTCCTGCCTATCTACACGGCAGCGCTAACTCAAGTAAAACAAATCCTATATGTCAGGCAGAACTTTCTTTCAAAACACAGGTTCAAGCCATAGAATGAATGCATCTAACATCAGTCCCTTTCTGTCCTCAATCACTACTATTTTAACAGGCCAGTTAAGAACATAAGGACTGGTGCCAAAATAAGGAGAGCTGTCTCATAATAGTCAAGCAACAGCCTGAGATAGTCATACTCACGGAATAATTCCTTAAAGACAATGTCCTAGACACCACCATCATCATCCCTGGATATATCCTGTCCCACCTGCAGGACAGGCCCAGCAGGATACAGTTGGGAGGCAGTTGGCCTGGGAGTCCTCAACATTGACTCCGGACCTCAAAGTCTCACGACATCAGGTTACACGTGGGCAAGGAAACTTCCTGCTAAATTACTACGTAGCATTTTCCCTCAGCTAATGAATCAGAACTCCTCCATGTTGAACATCAGCTGGAGGAAGCACAAAGGGTGGCAAGGGTGTAAACCATACTCTGGGTGGGGAACTTCAAAGCTCGGCAGCAGTACTACTGATTGAGCTGGTTGGGTCCTAAAGGACATAGCTGCTGGACTGGGTCAGTGGCAGGTGGTGAGGGAATCAACAAGAGGGAAAAACGTTCTTGACCTCATCCTTACTAATCTGCCAGCTGCAGATGCATCAGTCCATAGCAATATCAGTAAGAGTGACCACTTACAGTACTTGAGGGGATGAAGTCTCGTCTTCACATTGAGAACACCTTCCATGGTGTGTAGCACTATCACCACGCTAAATGGGACAGACTTCGAACCTATCTAGAAACTCAAAACTGGGCATCCATGAGGCGCTGAGAGCCATTAACAGTAGTAGGATGTTTGTCCAGCACAATCTGCAACCTCATGGCCCGGTATATTCCCCACTCAACCACTACCATCAATCCAAGGGATCAACCTTGGTTTAATGGAGGCTATGCCAGGAGCAGCACATTTTTAGGCATACCTAAAAATGAGGTACCAGCCTGGTGAAGTTACCAAACAGAACTACTTGCATGCAGCAAATAATAGCATATCATAAGCAGCAAGTAATAGACAGAGCTAAGCAATCCTACAACCAACAGATCAGATTGAAGCTCTGCAGTCCTGCCACTCCAGTTGGGAATTGTGAAGTCATTGGGGGAGGAGGCTCCACAAATATCAATGATGAAAAAGCACAACACATCAGTGCAAAGGTTAAGGCTTAAGCATTCACAGTAGCCTTCAGCCAGAAGTGCCGAGTGGATAATCTATCTTGGCCTCCTCCAATGATCCTCAGCATCACAGATACCAATTTTCAGCCAATTCAAGTTACTCCATGTGCCATCAAGAAACAGTTGGAGGCACTGGATACTGCAAAGGCTATAGGCCCTGACAACAGCACTGAAGACTTGTGCGCCAGAGCTTGCTGCTAACCTAGCCAAGCTCTCCCAGTACAATTATAACACTGGCATCCACCTGGCAATGTGGAAAATTGCCAAGGTGTGCTGTACACAAAAAGCAGGATAAATCCAAACTGGCAAATTACCAACCCATTAGTTTACTCCTGACCATCATTAAAGTGACAGAATATGTTATCACACCTGCTCAGTGACAGCCTGCTCATCGTTGCCCAATTTGGGGTCTGCCAGAGTCACTCAGCTTCTGACCTCATTATAGCCTCGGTTCAAACATGGACATTCCAGAGGTGAGGCGAGAGTGACAGCCCTTGACATCAAGGTTGCATTCAACTGAGAGTGGCATCAAGCAGCCCTAGCAAAAATGGAATCAATGGGAATCAGGGGGCAAACTCTCCGCTCGCTGGAACCATACCTGACACATAGGAAGATGGTTGTGGTTGTCGGAGGTCAGTCATACCATCTCCAGGACATCTCTGCAGGAGATCCTCAGGGTAGTGTCCTAGGCCCAACCTTTGTTAGCTGCTTCATCAACGACGTTCCGTCCACCCTAACGTCAGAAGTGGGCATGTTCGCTGATGATCGCACAATGTTCAGCATCATTCACACCTCCTCAGATACTGAAGCAGTCCATGTTTAAATCAAAAAGATGCAGACAATATCCAGGCTTGGGCTGACAAGTGGCAAGTAACATTCACACCACACAAATGCCAAGCAATGATCATGTCCAATAAGAGACAATCTAACCATCGCTCCTTGACATTCAATGGTATTATCATCACTGTCAACATTTTGGGGATTACTACCAACCAGAAACTTAACTTGATTTGCCACATAAACACAGTGGTTACAAGAGCAGATCAGAGGCTAGGAATACCGCTGTGAATAACTCACTTCCTGACTCCCCGAAGCCAGTCCACCGTCTGGAAGTGTGATGGAATACTCCCCATTTGCCTGGATGGATGCAGCTCCAATAACATTCAAGAAGCTTGACACCATCCAGGACACAGCAGCCGCTTGATTGGCACCACATTTACACGCATCCACTTCCCCCAACACCATGCTCAGTAGCAGTGTGTACTATTTACAAGATGAACTGCAGAATCTCACCAAAGATCATTAGGCAGCACTTTCTAAACCCACAACCACTTTCAACTGGAAGGACAAGGGCAACAAATACATGGGAACACAACGTGCAAGTTCTCCTCTAAGCCATTCACCATCCTAATTTGGAAATATATCGCATTCCCTCACTATTGCTAAGTTGGAATGCTTGAATTCCCTCCCTAACTGCATTGTGGGTCATCCTAGAGCAGGTGGACTGCAGTGGTTCAAGGAGACAGCTCATGACCACTTCTGAAGGGCAAATAGGAACGGAGAATAAATGCTGGCCCAGTCACAGTGACATCCACATGCCATGAGTGAATGAAAATAAGAACAGACCAGAAGATAATAGGAACAGGAGTTGGCTATTCAGCCCCTTGAGTCTGCTCTGCCATTCAATAGGATTATGGCTAATCTAACTGAAACTCCTCACGTCCATTTTCCTGCCCTTTCCTCATAACCCTGGAATCCTTGCTGATCAAGAGCCTGTCTATCTTAGCCTTAAACATATAAGGAGTGTTCCCCCATTACAGTCCGTGGCAAGGAATTCTAAATACTCTCAACTCTCCAAGAGAAGAAGTTTCTCATCATCTCAGTCTCAATTTAGCACCACTTAATTCTGAGACTACACCCTCTGGTCCTGGACTCTTCCATGAAGGGAAATATCCTCTCAGCATTTACCCTGCTAAGCCACTTAAGAGTCCTATATGTTTCAATGAGATCACCTCTCATTCTTCCAAACTCCAGTGAGTAGAATCCCAACGTGTTTAACCTTTGCTCACAAGACAATCTCTTCAGGCCAGGATTATCCTACTGAAGCCTCCAATGAAATAATATCTTTTCTTAGTCAAGGGGACCAAAATTGCTCACAGTACTCCAGGCGTGGTCTCACCATCTTGTACAGTTGCAGTAAGACCTCGCTCCTCTTATACTCCAACCCGGTTGAAATAAGGGCCAACATTCCATTAGCCTTCCTGATCACCTGCTGCACATGTATGCTAGCTTTGTGTTTCATGCACAAGTACCCTCAAGTCCCAATGTATTGTTGTTTTCTGCAGTTTGTCCCCATTTAAATAATATGATCTTCCAAAACAAACAACTTTATATTTTTCCACAATACACTCTAATTACCAACATTTTGCCCCTTATTAACCTATCAGTACCTCTCTGTCAACTGTTTGCATTCCTCTTGTAACTTGTCTTTCCGTCTACTATTGTGTCACCTGCAAATTTAGCTGCAGTACATTCGCTTCCTTCCTCCAAGTCATTAAATATATTGTAAACAGTTGTACTTCCAGCTTATTCCCAGGATTTTATATGGATTTAGGGAGATTGAGAAGTTGGAATTGATAGTGTCAAAATGTTGCTGGAATGGTATATCCTTTCACCTTTAACCTACTTTGCTAAACAATGTGTTCAGAGGTGTTATTACATACCCCTGGAGCAGGTGGGACTTGAACCTGTGCCTCCAGGTCCAGGGGTAGGGACATTGCCACTGCACCACAAGAGGGTCCCTAACCACACCTCCAATCAGAATGTCAGACATTAAATTCTGTTCAAGTCTAATCTGTAGTTTAAAGTCTAAGTATGCTGCAGGTGAGTGCTTGGCTGAGTGTGAACTGCAATGGATCAAGACATGGCACAGAAATCTGCAGAGGCCAACCTGTGTGCAGCTGCTCACTCACCTTGAAGTCGTATGCAGACTGCTTGATGACTTCTGGTGCCATCCAGAAGGGTGTTCCTACGAATGTGTTTCTCTTTATCTGCGTGTCTGTTAATTGCCCAGCTACCCCAAAGTCTGCAAGCTTCACGTCTCCTTGCTCTGACAGTAGTACATTAGCAGCTGTGGAGATATGACAAACAGAACATCAAAATTAACTGTTCTCTAAGGCAGCTAGTGTATCCCCTGTTTTAGGCACAAAGGGAAAATGAGAGCATGATGCAGGGAGGTTGGGAGTGAAGCATGATTCAAGGAAAGGGTGTTAAAGAGGTCTTAAAAGGCAGAAGTATGCGTGGAAAAGGAAGGAATTAAAAATTTTAGGCTGCTGGATTTTATCTATGCATATATTAATCCACACCAGTAGCCAGGAGGTCAGTCAAAGAAAACAAGAAATCACAAAAGGAAAGTAAATACTCAAGATTGTTCAGTGGCCATTTCTTTTTCCATTCTTGTTTCTGTTAAAATCTGAGCAAATAAGGATAAGTGTGTAAAATACATTCACCCATCCTTTCCAAAAGAAGTCTGGTAAGAAGTAATTATTTCTATACTCATTGAGTTGAAGAATCTAAGTTGTGGGGCAAGATAAATTATCACCTCGTCAGGTTTTTTTAAAAATTATTTTTCAAATAATAACCATCCTTCAAAGGTTAAAAACAAACTGGAGCTGGAGCAGGGGCTGAAACAAACCAAGGGGCAGGAGGTCATGATTCTTTGCTCAGCATCATGGTGGCTCAGTGGTTAGCACTGCTGTCTCACAGCGCTGGGGACCCGGGTTCCATTCCACCCTTGTCCAAAAATGTGCAGGTCAGGTGGATTGGCCATGCTTAGTTGCCCATTGTGTCCATGGATGTGTAGGTTAGATGCGTTAGCCAGGGGAAATGCAGGGTTGCAGGGAGAGTGTGGGTCTGGGTGGGGTGCTCTGCAGAAGGTTGGTGTGGTCTTGTTGGGCTGAATAGCCTGTTTCCACAGTGTGGGGGTACTAAGGTCACTACTATGGTCAGCATGGTGTCACAATGCCTACCTTAATGAGAGAATTAATGAAGTGGTAGTCAAGTTCCAACCATGTGCCTGAATGAGGAACAGAGTATCTTCGCTTTCTGCTTTATTGTCAACTGTTTTGGGGTCAGGCTTAGCACAGCTTGGGTATTGTAAGACTTTCCTCTACTTTGCTTAGTCAAGCACTTCAAGCTCAGCTTTTTCTGGCTGCCTCCTCCAGCCACTCTGGACACTTTCCTCACTGATCTGGTCCATTAGTATATTTGGTTTTATGAAAATGTCAGGATAGGCAACAGCCAACGTGTCAGATCAGAGCTGGGTGTAATAGTCAGGAGGGTGAAGATGCAAGAAGACATAGGGAGCTGCAAGGTTGCCCCCTCCTTTCCCCAAAGCAATAGGGTACACCCCTTGTTCTTCGCTTTCCCCTGATAACAGGATCCCCCTCCCTAATATTCTAACATCTCTTTCCAACTACATTCTGCAAAAGGGTTTATCTCTTCCCTTTCGTCACAACGCCATAAGACAATTTCATAACACCATAATACACAGGAGCAGAATTATAATGTAGGCTCACATGCCGCTGGAGTACTGAGGGAGTGCTACATTCACAGGCATATAATACTAAAAATCAAGAACCTGCCTTTTTTTTTTACAGGCATTAAGATATGATAAAAACATGTCTCCCTTTCCCAATCCCTACATCAGAAAGTAATTCCTGACAGTGCAAATTCCTTGCTTTCGGGAGTATTATGCTGATGTCTCTCTGCCTTCCACTCCCTCTTTTAAGCAATAATTTGGAAATCAATTTACAGAAGTTATAATTATCCAAACAAAAGTTATTGCTCTGCTTAACTCTCAACAACACATTAACAATCCCATTTCTTGTCGTGTTTTTACCTTTAATATCTCGATGAATTTTTCGTTCTGAGTGCAGATAGTCTAAACCTTTAAGTATTTCCCGTAGGATCGTTGCAATGTAAGTCTCCTCCAGGGGGCCTGGTTTCAGCTGCAAAGACCACAACCATCCATTAACAATAAGGAACTACCTGATAGATGAGGAAACACATCCAGAAAGTTACTCAGCTGGGATAACCCAAAAGAGCTTTAGTCCAATTGCATTCAGTTAGCTGGTTTGGACTGGTCCTCCATTAGAGGGTTATCATCAGCCAGGATAGCCTGGTCATTCATGACTACTGGACAATAGCCCAAATACAAATGCTACAACAGCCTTGGTGAGTTACTGCAGAACATCTGGTAGGTGGTACACACTGCTGCCATTGTTGATGTTGTGGCCATTACAGAGACTTGGTTGAGAGAAGGACAGGACTGGCTGCTCAATGTTCCAGGGTTTCGTTGTTTTAGACGAGATAGAGAGGAAGGTAAAAGAGATGGAGGAGTTGCATTACTAATCAGGGAGAATGTCACATCTGCACTCCTACAGGACATAGTGGAGGGCTCATTCACTGAGGCAATACGGGGAGAGCTCAAAAATAAGGTGTGTGCCATCACTCTGCTAGGATTATACTATAGCTCACCCCACCCCCCAACCGAGACACTGAGGAACAAATATGTTAGGCAGATTATGGAAAGATGCAATAAAAACAGGTTGTTATAGTGGGTGACTTTAAATTCCCCAATATTGACCGGAATTCCCTTACAGCAAGAGGCTTAGACAGGGCTGAATTTGGTAAGTGCATCCAAGATGGTTTCTTGAAACAGTAGGTGCATAGTCCAACTAGAGGAGGCGGCATACTGGACCTTGTCTTGGTTAATGAGCCTGGCCAGATGGCTGACCTTTCAGTTTTAAGATAGCTACAAAGAAGGAAAAGTCAGGACCTTGCAGGAAAGTACTAAATTCAGGGAGGGCAAATTATGTCAATATTAGGCAGGAACTAGGGAATGTTAATTGGGAGGAGCTGTTATCGGGCAAGTCCACATTTGACATTGGGAGTTGTTTAAAGACCTGCTGACGAGAGTTCAGGACTGGCATGTTGCAGTAAGGAAAGTCACAGATGGCAAGGTAAGGGACCCTTGGATAACGGGGGAGACTGAGTTTAGTTAAGGGAAAAAGAAGCATTTTAAGGTTTACAAAGCTAAAATTGGACAGGGTCTCTGAGGAATATAAAGAAAGCAGGAAAGAACTCAAGTAGAGAATTAGGAGAGCAAGAAGGGGCCATGAAATGACCTTGGCAAGTTGGGTTACAGTCAATCCCAAGGCATTCTATACATACATTAAAAATAAAAGGATAACTAGGAAGAAGGTACGACCATTCAAGGATAAAGGAGGGAACTTGTGCTTGGAGGCAGAGGACGTGAGCGAAATTCGAAGTGAGTACTTTGCATCGATATTCACCCAGGAGAAGGATATGGAGGATAGTGAGATTTGTGTGGAGTATGCTAATATGCTAGGGCATTTTGAGATCAAGAAAGAAGTGGTGTTGGGTCTCTTGAAGAGCACTGAGGTGGTTAAGTCCCCAGGGCCCGATGGTATCTATCCCAGGTTATTGAGAGAGGCAAGACAAGAGATTTCTGGGGCTTTAACCAAGATCTTTGTATCCTCGTTAACCTCTGGAGAGGTCCCGAAGCTCTGGCGAATAGCTAATGTTGTTCCACTGTTCAAGAAGGGAAATAAGGATAATCCAGGAAACTATAAATCGGTGAGTCTCACATCAGTGGTTGGGAAGCTACAGGAGAGAATTCTTCATTGATGCGCATTTGGAAAAGCATGGCCTAACTAGGGACAGTCAGCATGGCTTTGTGCAAGGCAGGTCATGCCTTACCAACTTGATTGAATTTTTTGAGGTGGTGACAAAAGTGATAAATGAGGGTACAGCAGTGGATGTTGTTTACATGGTTTTTAGTAAGGCTTTCGTCAAGGGTCCCTCATGGTAGGCTCATCCAGAAGATTCAGATGCATGGGATCCACAGTGACTTGTCTGTGTGGATTCAGAATTGGCTTGCGCACAGAAGGCAGAGGGTTGTGGTGGAAGGGTGTTTTACTGGCTGGAGGTCCGTGATTAGTAGTGTTCCACAGGGATTCATACTGGGACCTCTGCAGTTTGTGATATATATAAATGACTTGGATGAAAATGTAGATGGGTGAGTTAGTCAGTTTGTAATGATACAAAGATTGGTGGAGTTGTAGATAATGTAGAAGGGTGTCAAAGGACACAGTGGAATATAGATCAGTTGCAGATAGGGGCAGATAAATGGCAGTTGGAGTTTAATCCAGGTGAATGTGAGGTCCTGCACTTTGGGAGATAAAATGTTAAGGAAAAGTATACAGTTAAATGGTAGGACTCTGAACAGCATTGATATACAGAGGGATCTTGGGGTTCAAGTCCATGGCTCCCTCAAGTGGCCACGCAGATAGATAGGGTGGTAAAGAAGGCATATGGTGGGCTTGCCTTTATTGTACAGGGAATTGAGTACAAGAGTCAGGATGTCATGTTGCAGCTTCATAAAACTTTGGTTAGGCCACATTTAGAGTATTGTGTTCAATTCTGGTCGCCACATTACAGAAGGATGTGGAGGCTTTGGATAGGGTGCAGAAGAGGTTTACCAGGATGCTGCCTGGAATAGATGGAATGAGCTATAAGGAGAGGCGAGAGAAACTTCGGTTGTTTTCTCTGGAGTGGCAGAGGCTGAGGGGAGACTTGATAGAAGTCTATAAAATTATGAGATGCATAGAGTTGATGGTCAGAATCTTTTTCCCTAGAGTTGAAATGTCTAATACTAGGGGGCATGCATTTAAGGTGAGAGGGGGAAAGTTCAAAGAAGATGTGAGGGGCAAGTTTTTTTTTTTTTTTTTTAACACAGAGTGTGGTAGGAGTCTGGAACGCACTGCCAGGGGTAGTGGTGGAGATAGATACAATAGGTTTAAGGGACTTTTAGATGAGCACGTGAACATGCAAGGAATGGAGGGATATGGACCAAGGGCAGGCAGGAGGAATTAGTTTAATTTGGCGTCATGTTCAGCACAACATAGTCAGCTGAAGGGCCCGTTCCTGTGCTGTACTGTTCTATGTTCTATGCATTGGCTGTGGAGAGATTGAATGATGAAGGTGTTAGATGAGGTGCTAGTCAAATGCCTGTTTTGTCCTGGATAATGTTGAGCTTCTTGGGTTTGTTGGAGCTGCAACCATCCAGGCAAGTGGGGAGAACTCCATCACACTCCTGACTTGTGCCTTGTAGATGGTGGGCAGATTCGCCACAGAATTGCAGCTTCTGGCCAGCTCTTGTAGCCACAGTATTTATATGGCTGGTCCAGTTCAGTTTCTGATCAATGATAATTGTAGAATGGTGACAGTGGGGTTTCAGTTATGGTACATTGAATATCAGGCGGCGATGGTTGGATTCTGTATTGCTGGAGATAGCCATTGCCTGGCACTTATGAGGTACAAATGTTCCTTGCAACTTATCAGCCCAAGCCTGAATGTTGTTCAGGTCTTGCTGCATTTGGACATAGACAGCTTCTAACACCTTCAACATTCACTCCCTCCAAATGCAACACATCATGGCTTAGCATCAGAATCTGCAAGATACACTACAGTAGCTCACCAATGTTCTTTTGACAGTACCTTCCAAACCTACAACTTCTAACACCCAAAAAGTCAACAGCAACGGACACATGGTAGTATCAGAGGAATTGTGAATGGTGCTGAACATTGCATAGTCATCAGTGAACATCCCCATCTCTGTCCTTATGATGGATGGAGATACAGTTAGGGATTCTAAGGAAAGACAGGTCCAAGCTTGGTGATGATGCTCCAATGATCAAACACCATTAATAAACACTATCAAGGCTCATGAATAAGAGTCACTTGTCCAAAGCTGCAGCTTCCTGATTGATTACTTGGCATGGTACAGATGGACAATGCTTTTTTTCCTGGGGGAGGTGAAAACTGGCAAAACAGAAAAGGCTTCGGAAAATATTAGAACAGGAATAATTCCATGGAGATTATTCCAAAATTACAATTCTCTTTCTCTAAAGCTATGCCAGCTGTGTCTGTTTCTATGGTTGGCAGCTGAAAGCAAAATAAGGTAATTGCTTTTAGCAATTCGACATTTTGCTATTTCCTCCTCCCCTCAAACATTGTTCCACACGCACCAGCTAACCTTTGGCATTTCATCCAAATGGGTGCCTTGAGGATCATCATTCCCTTTCACAGCCCAACACATCCAGACTGAGCAGCTCTGCTCAGGGACCATTTTCTGTTGGATTCTTGACATTGCAGGTCAGGCTGTTAAGCTACTAACCTTACAGTCCCATTAAGCAGCCAAGAAAACAAATTCATAAATGGTGAAAGTGATTTAAGGAAGAAGAAACTGAGATTGTAAATACAGCCGTGGTGTTCTTACTGTGTAATGCACAGCAAATCAAAGATTACCACATAATAACTTTGATTAAAGGCAGCATGCTTATCTATTTCTTCACCAGAGACAATAGAACATTAAGGTGAGTAACTAGCAGCTTATAGATCTGGGAACCAGAGCTCTCACAGTGCAGATAAAATGACACTGAGCCTGGGATTCAAATGCACATCATCGGGCTAACAGTTAAATGCTCATGTGCTGCAGGTCAAACCTGGTACTGGGGTTCAAACACTTGCCCCTTTAGTGAAGCAACACTATTCAAATGGCATTGTTTCAAATCTTGAATCTGGGATTGGAGATCAACCTGTAGTTTATAGCTCAGTGTTCTAACATTGCTAATTTATCTCTTGGGTTAGGGCTCACACAGAAAATGTAAAACCACATCATGGTAAAAATTAGTACTCACCAAGTCTAATGCAGAGCCTCCACCCAGATATTCCATGATTATCCACAATTTGGTGCCCTCGAGAGTGAACAAAATAATTGTGATTAGATTAGAAGCAAGGAGACCTTTTACATAAACTACACATAACTTAGACAAGATGCAAATAGGCAAGTGGCCTTCTATAGCTCGTTGAATTCTGTAGCCAATAAATGATTCCAATTAGGTACAATAGCAGATCCAACCTTAATTGAAATTAGAAAAGTTCAAGTCTCTTAGGATGTAAAACCTGGGCACCAGAAATCCAGGCCACCGCCCTAAAATCTAGTTTTGCTTATTGATCTCAACCCCAACTTGACCACCTTTGAAGTGTCCATGACAGACAGAAAAGTTAGTGTGAACAAGGTTATTTCACAGCAATGAAAGAAAGAGAGGCTAATAACTTTTTTGGCAGGGTGCAAGAATCTACCTTGGGTCAGGGACTGAGAGTGAATGATTCGAGAAGCTGCCCCTGTTGATTCTATGTTTCTTTGCAATGAATATGAAGTGTTTTAAAATTCCTCATGGCATTGTTCACAGGGAGTCAAAGAATACAGCAATTTATAAGGACAAAAGCTTGACATCCAGCTACACAGATGTGTGTGGCAGTGCTCACAGACAGAAATAATCACCTTCTTCTCATCTTTCTTTTTCACAAATCAAATTTGCTACATCACAAACTGACGTTGCCTTTTGAAATTCTGTTTAGACCACAAAGTGATCTTCCTGTTTCTCTCATCTGGGAGTTTCAATTCTCCTCTTCCACTCTAACTTTTATCGTCATGTTCTTTGGTGTTACCATTCCTTTAATTTCCTTCTCAAATAACGTGTCAACTTCTGTCCACATTATGTGTATTTTTGTTTATGCAGTTCTTTTCCCATTGCTTCAGTCTCATTATGTCATCTTTTCCCTTTTCTTCTTCTCCTATGCAGTTCCAGTGTCTCTCTATTTCTACCTCACTGAGGCACATTCTTGCTGCTTAAGGCACATAAAATCGGAAAGAAAATGTAGAGAGTCGATGCTGGCAGTGGGAAGTGAAAGGACAGGGACCTAGAAATGGTCAGGGTGTGGAATGAAACGCTCTGACAATGAGGAGTAGGAGGGACTACAATTAAGTTGCACTGGAGAAATATTGCACTCCACTGAGTATCACAAACACAAAGAGTACTGGAGAAACCAATTTTCTGAGGAAGGGTCACTAGACTGGAAACATTAACTTTGATTTCTCTCCGCAGATGCTGCCAGATCTGCTGAGTGTTTCCAGAAATTTCTGTTTTTGTTTCGAATTTACAGCATCTGCAGTTGTTTCATTTTTTTTGGTTAATATTTTGAGTTCAGTATGGCTCTTTTTCAGAACTGCATTGAATATCACAGTGGATAAATTTGAGTGCTGGAAACAACAAAGGATCAAGCAGATGTGGGAGACACTGCTCTAGAACTGGAAACACTCGGTTGGTTAGAATGGTTTTACATTCTGTTCAGCAGCTTTTAATTTAAAGTGCACAAACAGCTTTCTCTCAAGCAGATGATATATCTAAGTAAGATTTAAAAAAACATTACTCAGCCAATTTCATTTCAAAATTATGAAAAGTCTGCAACAATAACATATTTATATAGTGAGCTTAATGGAAAAAAATTTCCAAAGGGCTTTGCAGAAAAATAATAATGGTGAGTCAAAAAAACTAATTCAAATAGATGGGATTTAACAAACACATCAAGTCCGGCTCACTCATTCATAGCATTCTTTCCTGTCACTACAAGTTTGTCCAAACCCCATCTTTAATCCTTCACTCCTGACTCTGGCCTCTTGGGCCATATGTGTCTTCACCCCAGCATTGAGGCTAGTCCCTACTTAAAGGCCCTCTGTTTAGTTCAGTAGGAAAATTTCCTTAGCAGCTTTAAACATGAACATTTTGCTTACAGTTCTTTCCATCCACATTCATGACAGATATAAAATACTTTTTACATTATTTATTGAATTGAAATTACTTTTCCATTTTCAAAATTGCCTCAAAGTGACCAATTATAGGGGGTCTGGGCGCCATACAACAGATTGACTTAGCTTGATATATTAGAGTTTGACATTTTGTGAAAAAACTACACATTAAGAACATTAAATTGAATTGTATTGTTTATCTGGCAAGAATAATTAACACAACTAAAAGACTTGGTTAAAATGACCACTCTAAACACAGATCTTTTATTCAGAATCTTCCACTAAGCTTTAATAACAATTTTTCTGAAGGATTTTTTGAGAACATCACTCTTGTGCCAAGAGAAACAAATTTCTGTGTCACACTTGCAACTTATTCTAAATTAATCTAAAATTTCTTTCACATGATATATCAAGTTATTACAATTCAAATCTATTCATTTAAATTCAGTCATGCATGCATTTCTTAGTAAGGATAAGATGGACCAATTTAATATTCCAAGTATTTTGGTGATAGCTTGTCACGTTTTGCTGTCAACCTAAGAACTACAGGCTAATTGTAAATTATCTGACATAATTATAGCACTGAAAAAAAAAACATATTTCATAATAATTATGGATTAAATTAAACTGGTCTGTGTATTGGAGTACCATAATTAATGCTTTTTCTTCTGGCTTCACCTTTTTCTCTCCAGGCTGGATTTGGCTTTGGTTTTATTCCCACAGAGTCAAGATATTTAAATTTCAAATTTAACTTCATATTATTAAAAAAATTTTTTATTAAGACACGTAAGTTATAGTTTAATGAGTCAAAGATTAGTCAATAAGATAGGACTGGATAAAATCCCACAGAACTGCAGATGCTGTAAATCAGAAACAAAAACAGAAATTGCTGGAAAAGTTCAGTAGGTCTGGCAGCATCCATGAGAGAAATCAGAGTTAATGTTCAGATCTGGTGATCTTTCCCCAGAACATAGGACTGGATGTTTGTAAGACTCCTTGCAGTTAAACAGAAAAGGCTGTGAAGTATGTGAAGTCATACAATTGGTTAAAATAAATGAAGCAGATTTTATTGAAGGCAAAAACTTCTTCAAGATGGTGGAGGTGGGAGGGTAGCACGTGTTCGGGCTCCCAGCCCACCCACTCCCTCTTGCATGACTGACCACATCCTTCTTGTTTTTAAATTTAAAACTTTTGAATACATTCATCTTTTCTCCTTTCTGCACTGCGGAGGAGGAATGGTTGCAGGGAGCTGTTGAGCGGCACATGTGGTCTGTTCCTTGTGGCCATGGCTTGAGCAACTGTTCCGGTGTTGATGGATTGGATTGGTTCTTTTGATGTTCAAGCGGGGTCTGCAATGGCGGTGGAGTGAATGATCCCTCGGTCATCCAGAGCTAATTTGGACAGTCAATCAGTCCTTGGAAGTGGAGATGGGCCCTGGTCCTCGAGAGTTGTGACAGTCTCCTGGCTATGGCGCTGGCTAGGGTATTAGCTGCAATGAAGCAGCTTTGGCAGAGATGGCATTCTGGGCCCGGTCAGCTATGCAGGGGCTGTCTCAATGTGCTTCCTCCTTGTGTTGCGACCTCAGGGACAGCTTTGGCTGCTGCAGGGCGTGGCAGCATTCCGTAGCCAATTAGGAAATCAAGAAGCCATGGATGGAACAAAAAAATGAAATTTGTCCTAACTTTGTGTGATTTATTCCTTTTTGCAATTTATGTGATTAAAACAGCACAGGCTTATTTTCATAAATACATGTGAAAATAAATTACTATATCAGGAAATGCAGAATTTTTTTTATTTACGAGGGTGAAGCTTTTAAATATTGATGTTCAGAAAGACTTGGTTGTGCTAGTATAAAGCTCTCTGAAGGTTAGCATGCAGGTACTGCAAGCAGTTAGATGGTAAATGGCTGACAGGGCAAAATGTGGGAAACATGAAATTGTTCACTTTCACAGGAAGAATAAGGGGGGGGGAGAAAAAACAAATTATTACATAAAAGGAGAACGACTACAATATTCTGAGGTGCAGAAGAGTCTAAGTGTTCAAGTGTAAGATATTAGTATGCAGGTACAGCAAGTAATTCAGAAGGCTAATGGAATGCTAATCTTTATTTGCAAGGAATTGAACATAAAAGAAGGGATTTTATACATCAGTTGTGTGGGAAATTGGTGAGCTCACTTCTTGAATACACTGTGCAGTTTTGGTCTCTATTTAGGGAAGAATATAAATGCATTCTAGGCAGCTCAGAGGAGGTTTACGACATTGATACTTGTCTTACGAGGATATGTTGGACAGGCTGGGCTAGTTTCCACCAGCATTTACAAGAATGTGGGGTGAGCTGATGGAAGTGTGTAGGACTTTGAATGGTCTTGGCAAGGCAAATGTCAAAATAATGCTTCCTCTTGAGGATAAGTCCAGAGCTAGGGGTCACTATTTTAAAATTAGGGGTCTCTCTTTCATAAGGGAAACCTTTTTTCTCCTGAGGATTGTGCGACTTTGAAAGCCTGTCTCAGAACACGGTGAAGGTGGGGTAATTAAACATCTTTAAGACAGAGGTGAATAGATTCTAATGAGGCAAAGGAATCAAAAGTTATCAGGAGTAAATGGAAATATAGAAATTGAAATACAACAGATCAGCCGTGATTTTATTGAATGGTGGAGCAGGCTTGATGGGCTGAATGGTTTACACCTGCTTCTAATTCATATATTTGCCTGCATGGCAAAGAGACAGGAGTATAATTGTGTACGGTTTCAGTGACAGCATGTGTGGAATACTGTGTACATATCTAAGGAAGGATATGTTTGCATTTGATGTGGTTCAGTAATGTTCATTAAATAATTGGATGAGAAGGTTGACCCATGATGAGAGGCTGCGCAAATTGGGTCGATACATTCCAAAGTTTAGAAGATGGAGAGATGATCTACTTGAGATTGACAACGTTCTAACGGGGTGTCTTAGGATAAACACACAGAGGTTGTTATCCACTTGCTGGGCATCTAGAATGCAGGTCTCAGCCTTATGATAGGAGGTCAATCATTTGTGACTGAGATGAAGGAAAATCTCTTCACCTAGATGCTCATGTATCTTTGGAATTCTCTCCCTATGGCTGGTTGATGTTCCGTTGTTGAATATATTCAAGGCTGGGATAGACTGGTTTTTAGTCTCTCAGAGAATAAGGAGATGAGAAGAAAAAGTGGGAAGAAGAGTTGAGGTTGAAGATCTGCCACAATCGCACCGACTGGCTCAAGGGGCTAGATGTGGTCTACTCCTGTTTCAGTTCATCAGGTATGTGGTATTTTTCTGAAGCAAGTTCTGAAAATTTTGTAACTCGTTGATTTTCCAATGAACTAATGATAAAAAAGCTAATTCCACATGCTTTCTGAAAACTGCACACATCATCTTCCTGCCTCCCGTTGCCTTAACCACAAGCATCTCCTGCAGTGTTTAACTTCTAATTCTGTGACTGTAGCTTTCATGCTCTTTCTTGAAATACACAATTGTTGGGTGAAGTTCACCACTGGTAGCATGTGTTTGGACAACGGGCTCCAAAGAACACATAATAAAAACTAAAAGAACTGTGGATGCTGTAAATCAGAAACAAAAACAGAAATTGCTGGAAAAACTCAGCAGGTCTGGCAGCATCGGTGGAGAAAAATCAGAGTTAATGTTTCACTCCACCTGAAACGTTAACTCTGATTTTTCTCCAACAATGATGCCAGATCTGCTGAGCTTTTCCAGCAATCTCTGTTTTGGTTCCAAAGAATACTTGTTTCACAACCCCATACCACAATTTCAACTTAGTTACAGATTTCTTCACTGGAGATGTACACCACTCCTCCACTTCCACACAAAGCATCAGCAGAATTATCTTAACATTCAACTGTTAGTCACTTGCTTGCCTTCTCTGTTTCACAATGACATGTTTTGATTAAGCACAAAACACTTGATAGAGGAGCACACAGAATAAACTTAATAGCCAGTATCGATGACCGATTGATAATACACCAAACGGCTTTTAGTTTCAAGGTCCATCCTTTGAAACCTTTTGATGTGATTTGATTTATCATAATCATACGTATCTAAGTGCAGCGAAAAGCTTTATTTTGCAAGTGCCCAGGCAGATCATAGCAAACAGATCATAGGGTGCTTAGACAGAGCGAGGCATACAGGTTACACTGCACAGGAGGTGCACAAAGCAAGGTCAACATTATTTGAAGTTAGAGAGGTCCATTTGACAGTCTAATAACGGCAGAGAAGAAGCTGTTCTTGAACTTGTTGGTGTGTATTCAAGCTTCTGTATCTTCAGCCTGATACCCGGGTGGGAGGTGTCTTTGATGATGTTGGCAGCCTTTCCGTAGCAACGAGAAATGTAAATAGAGTCTATGAATGGGAGGTTGGCTTCTGTGATTGACTGGGTGTGCACACAGCTTTCTAGAGTTTCTTATAGTCTTGGGCAGAGATGTTGCCTTACCAAGCCATTATGCACCTGGATAGAATACTTTCTATGGTGCATCTGTAAAGGTTGGTGAGGGTCCTTATGGAATTTCCTAAGCCGCCCGAGGAAGAAGAGGCATTGTTGTGAACGGTTGAGAACCTATGCCATTATTTTGCCATATTTTGTCCAAGCCATATTCAGTTTACACAGCAAAAAGTGCCTTAGATTAATCCATCCCTGAATCTTTTAAAAATAGTCTTTTCTCAAATAATTGTAATTATTTATTTCAAAGATACTTGTCTCAAATATGTCATCTTGAACTAACTTGAATCCTTTAAAAAGTAGACTTTATTAACTTTTATCTTTCTTTTATCTCCCTTTGCTTATGATTATTAGACTACAAGACAGTCCAATCATTTTCCTGCCAACCATAACTGGTGGATAACATACAGGCAGTTGGAGTAGAAGATAAGCTATGCTTTCTTCTCAAGCCACTTCAAAGTCTTCCTTTCTACATTGGAAAGTCTGTTGCTCCAAGATAACAGGGCTGATCAGTAACCCTTAACTCTTCAAAATGTCCACCACAGAATAACTTAGGGTATTCAATAAATTGCTGCAAACAAATCAGCTGCACATCAGCAAAAGCAAAGCAGCTAACCAGAACATTTATAACAGTCTTAAAGAAATACAATGACGACAGTTTACAAATGGGCAGAGGCCTGTACTGTAGCAAGGATAACCGGGCTGAACAGAGCAAACAAATAGCAGGGGAGGAATAAACTCAAAGTCTTAACTTTTCAAAAAAAAGTAATGTAAGCTGAAGGTCAAAACTTATTTGACAGATTTCCAAGAGAAGCCAATGCTTTCGTATTTGGCATGCTATTGGATCTTATCGAATCATTTTGCCTTGGATTATTTTAGTTCTCATAGTTTAGATTACCCTTATGGGCAAACCATTACATCTTATAGACGTCTATTCTTACTTTGAGGTCAAGTAATATGCCTGGAAAACAAACAGCACTGGTAAGTGTTTTGAATAACTAGACATCTTTTATGCCTTTATCAGATGTCACAGTTCACCAAATCCGACAACAGAATCACAAAAAGATGAAACAAACAAGTGTATAACATAGTTCCAAATACACAGCAGACAACTGTCTCTCTAAATCCTTGAGTCATCAAAATTATGGAGATTGACACCCTAAGAAACAAGCTAATTTTCTAAATGACCTTTAAATATAGAGTGTTACTTTCAGGAGTATCTAACTGGCTCATGCTGACGACCTGCTTCTTAGAGTTTATCTAAGTTATCTAGAGTTTATCTAAGTTAATCCCCTTTCATGCATTTTACCACCTGTGCTTGATTGAAACAGAATCTCCTTTGCAAATCGTATTACTAATTCAATGTTGGCCTTGGCTCAGTGATAGCACTCTCACTTAAGTCAGAGGTCCAAGTGTCACTCCAGGACTTGAATACAAAATGCAAACTAACCCTTTAGCATTAAGGGAATGCTGGCACTGTTGGAAGTCGTCTTTCAGATGAGACACTAAGCTAAAGTCCTGTCTATCCTCCTAAGTAGACATAAAAAAAATGACATGGTATTGTTCAAAGAAATATAGCAGTTCTCCAAATGCCACTATCAATGTTTGTTCTTCAATTAACCTCAAAAAAAAATTCTCTCATTTTGGCTTGTGGGAGCTTGCAATGTGTAAATCGGTTGTTGCATTTCCGACATTGAAAGTACACTGACTTCACTTTGAAAATACTTTTTAATCTATGAAGCACTTTGGGACACTCAACTGAGCTGGAGAGATTCATTATGTAAATGAGAGTCTGATCTTCAACTCGATTTTGAGAATCTGATCTCACAAATTCAACAAAGAATGGGTTGTCAAATACAACTGAACTAAATAATCTCCAGGAGTTAAAATTTTGTTCAAGGGTTTGAACTTAAAGGTGGGAAACAGTTTGGGGTGATGGCCCTAAATGGCAAGACCAGCTGTGATCGTGTAGGGATGGTCATTGTGCGCTCACCATTCAACTGAAGACAACAGGTGGGCACCTGAGGCTGGAGAGTGAATAGGAGGCACTCCAAAAATAACAGGCCCGTAGGTCCATCACAGAGAGAAAGAAAGATCCTTGCAATGGTGATGGTCTCTGAGCTCCAAAATCACAATCAACTTAACAAAAAAAGGCCACAGCTGCTTGCCATGATTTTGGAAAGTAAACCCCTCTACCAACGGCCTTCAGCCACAGGGTCCAACTGCCATCGTGGGGTGTCCTTAGTAAGGTGGAGAGCTGTCTCTTTCTCCTATTTAACCTCCCAAACATCTTTATTCCCACTAACGGTGCACGGACCAGCGCCAGATGGGAAAATTCCAGTCAGCATGGAAAAGGAGCCAGGTCTGGGTCTGATTGGCTACCTGTCCCTTTTGAGTGAGGTGACATCCCACCGCCTGACCTGGTCTTTTTCATAATGGATTGGGACAGAATCATGACTTTAAACAAACCCTATTTGCTTCTGATTCCATCCAATTTTGCAAGGACATTCTAGGCCTGAGGCTACCAAGTTCTTAATATGGCAAAAATAGGGACTTTGTACTGGGACAGACCTGGCCCACTTTTTGGCATTTATTGGCTGCAAAATTTGCTCATTCTTGTTCAAACCAGTTTTCGAGGTGAAACTAGCAAAACAACATCTAGACAAAAGAAAAAAAAATTAAGGTGTTTGTAAATCCTCACATCCCGCCCTTGGAGACAGGCCAAGTTCAAGGGGATTAAGAAAGGAAGAAACAATTGTTAAAATTTGTTTTGATAGATTTTGACCTTTTGATGGTTGACAATCAGGACTTAATGGATGTTTTTCATAGATAAACAGTACTCCTCATTGTATAGAAGAATCCCCAATAACTTCAAACTAGCTGCTCAGCAGAGGTGAAATTGTTGGACAAGTCCTGCATCCAACGAAAATAATTTACAAACATTTATTCCCAGAAGATAAAACACTGAAGGAAATCCTGTGGAAGTACACAGGAGTTTTGCAGGCTCACTGTACAAACTTAAAAAGTACATTAAAGAAACCCTAATATTTTAACATCATTGGCAGTTCACAACTAAAAGTTTTCTCATTTTAGCCTCCCATTTTTGCTCAGCTCTAGCTTCTCAGGACCCAGTAAGCCTATCAATTCACTTTATTCCACTGTCCTTGTAGTAATACACATGCTCTTTGAATTCTCTGCATTCCTAGAGTGAGTTAGGAAGCATATATTAAAATAGCTTTTAAACTAAAAAACACACACACAATGGTGGCAATAAAGCTACTGGGTGTAAGTGTGAGTGCAATGATTTTATCTTATTTAACTATCACTCCAATCTTCTTACCTTTAAGTAAGAGCCATAGTACTTTGTGACATATGGGCTATCACACTGGCTAAGCACAGTAATCTCCTGTTGGATGTCTTCAATCTCATCTTCTGCCTCCTCTAGGTCAATGATTTTAATTGCCACAACTTCTTTGCTTCTGTTCTCTATTCCTTTGTACACTTCACCAAACGAACCTTTCCCAATCCGTTCTTGTTTTGTAAACAGCTCCTCAGGGTCCATGCGGGCATTCTGCAAGAAATTAACATTAGGATTACATTTCCTTTATCTTCAAAAAGCAGTACCCAGCAATTCCAAAAAGCGTCTTGTTCCAGAACTTCTTGTAATATACAACATATAAAGTACTACCAAAAGATAAATCTGGAGTGACGCTTCTTTCAAATTACAAGCGCAGGACAAGGGAGTCAAACAGCCTCCCTAATCTGTGTAATGAAACCTTGTTTCAGGCATTGTGCAACACAGACACAGGGGAAGGCCATTCTGCAATCACCAATCACTGCCTGTTGTTCAGTAAAACAAGGACTAATCTGAACCTCATCTTCATTTATGCCCTTAGCTAATAAAAATCCATTAATTGAAAATGTCAACTGGCGATTCTGGGAAACATCCCAGTGATTTGGAAAATTACAAATGTGACACCACTAATCAAGAAAGGAAAGAAACTGAAAGCAAGAAACTACAGGTCAGTTCATTTGATATCAATCATCTGGAATATGCTGGAGACCATGAGTAAGGAGGGAAGAGCAGGACAGTTTCAAAATCAATACAATCAGGCAGAGTCAACATGATTTTATGAAGGTTATGATTGACTAATTTATTAGAAGTTCTTTCAGGAAGTATCAAGCAAAGTCAATAAAAGGGAAACTGCACATATAGAGTCAGAGTCAGACAGCATGGAAACAGACCATTTGATCCAACTCATCCATGCTGGTGTAAGTTCATTTCCAAAAAGCATTTGATAAGGTACCACAACAAAGGTTATTACACAAAATAAGAGCTCACGGTATGGGCAGTAACATATTTGTACGGAGAATTGCTTAGCTCACAAGAAGCAGAGATTAGAGAGCAATAGGTCAACTTTGGGTTGGGAAGGTGTAACTAGTGGTTTATCACAAAGAAGGGGCCTTAACTATTTATAATCTTTATCGATAAATTGGATGAAGGGACCGAATGCGTGGTAGCTAAATATGCTAATAATTTAAAGATAGATAGGAAAGTAAATTGTCAAATGGACATTAGAAGTCTACAAAAGGGATTCAGATTATTTAGGTGATTAGGCAAAAACTTGGCACATGAGTATGTGGGAAAATGTGAACCTGCTCACTTAGGCAGGAAGATATAACTTTTAAAAATGGAGCGCGACTCAGGAACTCAGCAGTATAGAGGCATGTGGATGTCCTGTTATATTGATTGCAGAATGTTAGTGTGTAGGTACAGCTAGTGATTAGAAAGGCATATTGAATGTTGGTGTTTATTGCAAGGGGAATTGAGTATAAGCAGGCATAGCTTGGGCCCATGCGGGTACTCTTTGTAGGTTACGTGGAACAATCCCTCTTCCGTACCTACACTGGCTCTAAACCCCACCTCTTCCTCCGTTGGGTACCCACATGGGCCCAAGCTATGCCTGCCTCTTTGTAGGTTACATGGAACAATCCCTCTTCCTTACCTACACTGGCACTAAACCACACCTCTTCCTCTGTTACATTGATGACTGTATTGGCGCCGCCTCATGCTCCCACGAGGAGCTCAAACAGTTCATCCACTTCACCAACACCTTCCAACCCAACGTTAAGTTCACCTGGTCCATCTCTAATACCTGTCTCTCCTTCCTGGACCTCTGTGTCTCCATCTCCGGCAACCACCTAGAAACCAATATCCATTTCAAGCCCGCTGACTCCCACAGCTACCTAGAATACACCTCCTCCCACCTTTCTGCAAAAATGCCATCCCCGATTCCCAATTCCTTCGCCTCCGCCGCATCTGCTCCCAGGATGAGGCAGTCTATTCCCGTACATCTCAGACGTCCTCGTTTTTCAAGGACCGCAACTTCACCCCTCAGTGGTCGAGAACGCCCTCGATCGTGTCTCCCGCATTTCCCGCTACTCCCTACCACATCCCAAAACCAGCCCAGCTCGTCCCCACCTCCCTAACCTGGTCTTCCTCCCACCTATCCCCTCCTCCCACCTCAAGCCCCATCCCCATCTCCTACCTACCAGCCTCATCCCGCCCCCTTGACCTGTCCGTCCTCCCTGGACTGACCTATCCCCTCCCTAACTCCCCACCTACACTCACCTTTACTGGCTTCATCCCCGCCTCTTTGACCTGTCTGTCTCCTCTCCACCTATCTTCTATCCGCCTCCCCCTCTCTCCCTATGTATTTCAGAACCCCCTTCCCCTCCCCCATTTCTGATGAAGGGTCTAGGCCCGAAACGTCAGCCTTCCTGCTCCTCTGATGCTGCTTGGCCTGCTGTGTTCATCCAGCTCTACACCTTATTATCTCACAGTCATTATACATACTATTCACTGTGCCAAAAGGTGCTTAGACATACTTATACTTTCTCATGTGACAATCAAATTTTGGCAATTATCTACAATAAAGGTCCTTGCAAAGGTAGCGAACCACCAACATTTTACATGTTATCACTGTGTACAGCAAATATTGATAAATATACACTGTTCATGTTGCATTCAGACAAAAAATTCTGTTGACTATGGTGTACCACTTAGCACTCAACATACTTAGTACTGACAAATATCTACTTCAATATATTGTGCTCAAAGATGGCTAATCTTGATCATTCTGTCCCCCAGGGTTGCTCACACAAAATTAATATCATCCATTAAAGGCTATACGGTAGAGCACTCAATGAAAGCTTGCTACTTTATAGTGCAATGTGAAGATTTCATCAGAAACAAAATGCTGGGAAGTGTCTTCACATGTGTTTCTACTTGTGGGGAAGACAAAAACTACATGCCATCAATTTGATATTATCACTAATAAACTGAATATTGCATTCCCAAGAAATACCTTTACCCAGAGAATGTTTAGAATGTAGAAATCACTATCACGAGTAGTTGGTGTGAATAACACAGATGCATTTTTTTGTAAGCCTGATAGAGTAAGAGAGAAAAGAAGGTTTTCTGATGGGATAAGATGGTGAATGGGGGACAATGGCTTGTAAGAATTTTAAGTACAGTGTGCACCAGTTGGGCTGCAGAGTCTGTTTCTGTGGTGCCAACAGAATGTAATGTAATAGATTTTGCCCAGAGGGCAATTATAAGTCAACTACATTGCTATGGGCCTGGAGTCACATGTAGGCTAGACCAGGTAAGAATGGCAGTTTCCTTCCCTAAAGGACATTAGCGAACCAGATGGCCTGTGGAAGCCTGATAGAGTAAGAGAGAAAAGAAGGTTTTCTGATAGGATGAGATGGTGAATGGGGGACAATGGCTTGCGAGAATTTTAAGTACAGTGGTACTTCATCGGGTATCAGGCTCGTTTCTACCTCCTGCCAAAAATCCACAAACAGGACTGTCCAGGTAGACCTATTGTTTCAGCCTGCTCATGCCCCACAGAACTCATCTCTTCCTACCTTGACTCAGTCTTCTACCCACATACATCCATGATTCATCTGACACCTTACGCCGGTTTCAAAGCTTCCAGTTTACCAGCTCCAGCCACCTCCTCTTTATCATGGATGTGCAATCCCTTTACACATCCATTCCCCACCAGGAGGGTCTTAGGGCTCTCTGCTTCTTCCTGGAGCAAAGACCTGAACCATCCCCACCCGCCACCACCCTCCTTCACTTGGCCGAGCTTGTCCTCACTCTCAACAACTTCTCTTTCAAGTCCTCTCATTTTCTTCAGGTAAAAAGGGTTGCCATGGGTACCTGCATGGGCCCTAGTTATGCTTGTCTCTTCGTGGAGTACGTGGAACATTCCTTGTTCCAGTCCTATTCCGGCCCCCACCCACAACTCTTTTTCCGATACATCGATGATATCATCGGTGCAGCTTTCCTCTCTCATCTGGAATTGGAAAACTTCAATTTCGCCTCCAATTTCCACCCTGCCCTCACTTTCACCTGGTCTATCTCTGACTCCTCCCTTCCCTTCCTCGACATTTCTGTTTCCATTTCTGGGGATAGACTGGCCACTAATATCCATTACAAAACCACTGACTACCACAGCTACCTGGACTATACATCCTCACACCCCACTTCCTGTAAAGACTCCATCCCATTCTCTCAGTTCCTCCGTCTCCATCGCATATGTTCAGATGAGGCCAACTTCGACAAGGGAGCCTCCAAAATGTCCACCTTCTTCCTCAATGGAGGATTCTCCAGCTCTGTTGTCGACAGGGCCCTCAACCAGGTCCGACCCATCTCCCGCACTTTCACCCTCACCCCTTCTCTTCCCTCCCGCAACAGCGATAGGGTTCCCCTTATCCTCACCTACCATCCCACCAGCATCCACATCCAGAAGATCATCAGATGCCATTTCCGCCACCTCCAGCAAGATGCCACCACCAGACACATATTCCCCTCTCCTCCCTTGTCCGCCTTCTGCAGGGACCGTTCCCTCCGGGACACCCTGGTCCACACTTCCATCAACCCCAACACCTCCCCACGGCCCTACGGCACCTTCCCCTGTCACCGGCGAAGGTGCAACACCTGCGCATTTACCTCCTCCCTCCCCAGAATCTAAGGGCCCAAACATACCTTTCAGGTGAAGCAACACTTCACCTGCACTTCCAAGAATCTCGTCTACTGCATTCGCTGCTCGCAATGTGGTCTCCTCTACACTGGGGATACGAAGCGTAGACTTGGCGACTGCTTCGCAGAACATCTACATTCTGCTCGCAAAAAAGACCCTGAACTACCTGTTGCCTGCCACTTCAATGCACCACCCTGCTCCCTGGCCAACGTCTCTGTCTCCGGCTTGCTACAGTGTTCCAGTGAAGCCCAACGCAAGCTGGAGGAACAACACCTCATTTTCCGCTTGGGGACCTACAGCCCTCCGGACTCAATATTGAGTTCAATAATTTTAGGGCCCAAACTCTCCCATGTCCCAGCCCCCCACCCCCCACACCAGGCCTTGTTACCACATAGCCTGCCATTACACACCCTCTGTTGTTAGTCACTAACAGTCCCCATTAACAACTACTCACCCTCCCAGCCTGATCGTTAGCAACTCCTCTGTCTGTCCAACTGTCTTTCTCTCTCTTTGGGCT